CAGTATGACCTTTTTATGAATCACACTATATGTATTTCAGAAATAACATACATTAACTTTAGAGCACTAAAGGGCAGAGGACTGTTATAACTGTGTATGTTTTATTCCTTACTCCACCTTCTCCCATGCCTAAAAATTTTTTTTGTTAATCCTCACCTGAGGATATTTTTTCCATTGACTTTTTTCATTGCTCTTTCAGAGAGACCAGAAGGGAGGAATGGGGTGGGGAGAGAGAGAGTGAGAGAGAAATATCGATGTCAGAAAGACACATGATTGGTTGCCTCCTGCACCCGCCCTGACCAGAGCTGGAGATCAAACCTGTGATCCAGGTACATGCCCGTGACCAGGAATCGAACCATCAACTCTTTGGTCTATAGGCCAACACTCTAACTGCTAAGCCACACCAGCCAGAGCTAAATTTCTTATTTTTTATTGAATATATTTATAATGTATTTTTAATTGAGATATAATTCACATAAAATTTAGCATTTGGGCCAAAACCGGTTTGGCTCAGTGGATAGAGCGTCGGCCTGTGGACTGAAAGGTCCCAGGTTCGATTCCGGTCAAGGGCATATACCTGGGTTGCGGGCATATCCCCAGTGGGAGATGTGCAGGAGGCAGCTGATCGATGTTTCTCTCTCATCGATGTTTCTAACTCTCTATCTCTCTCCCTTCCTCTCTGTAAAAAATCAATAAAATATATTTTTTAAAAAAAGTTTAACATTTGGAAGTGTACAATTTAGTAATTTGTAGTATATTCTCAAAATTGTACAACGATCACCACTGTCTAATTCAGAACATCTCTATGATCCCCAAAAGAAACCCTTATCTATTAGCAATCAATCCCAATTCCCCTCTCCCTCTATGGGTTTGTCTATTCTGGATATTTCATATACTGTAAATGGGATTACATGATATATGGCCTTTTTGTCTGGCTTTTTCACTTACTATATTTTCAAGGTCATCCATGTTGTAGTATGAAATAGTACTTCATTCCTTTTTATGGTTGAATAATATTCCAATTTATGGATATACCACATTTTAAAGTCCACCCATCAGTTGGTCAACATTTCCAGATTTCACTCTTTATTTAAATCACTGTTTTTGTTCTAAGGTTTGGGGAAAATCAGTCTCCTCCCCCATGGCTTAAACATGTCCAGATTGTTTTTATAGTAGTTTCTAAAGCAGTAATATCTGAACTACTTCTTGTCGGTGACTTTGATAGCAGTGTTTCAAAGTTAACAGGAAGAAGGTTACTATTATTGGGAAACAACCCATCCTGCAATCCCACACCCATAAAGTGATATTGAAGTTTATCATAATTTAAGTCACAGAGTACTCCTAACTAAGCAAATTTAGCTAGGCTTGTCACCTAATTAAGGACTTTTAACATCAGAGACAAAAAGGGAAGGGTCATAGTTTTGTGGGAGGAGTATTCTCCATTCCTCTGTGAATTCGGAAATGCTGGTGGTCTGATATCTGAGTGCATGGGCTTCCATGTTCCCTGAGTTTCAGCTCCTGAATCCCACTTGAACTTGCTTTTCAGAATATGGTATCAGCTGTTCCTCTAGAGACCATGGTTTTAGTACCGGAAGTTATTACTGCCAATGGGAAGCAAGTTGACTTAAGTACCATGTTGTTTAAGTGTTTCTATTTTTTATTATTTTATTGTTTGATTACAGTTTGCATTCAGCACTATTTTGTACTAGTTCCAGCTGTATGGCACAGTGGATGGACATTCATATAGGTTACATAGTGTTCCCTGAAGTGTTTCTTGAGCTTTAACCTCAGAGTGCATATGTGGTTCTCTGTGCATTAGACGTAGTGGGCTTTGTCCCTTTTGGAAAAGCTATGGCTTTTTGGGAATTGCAGGGAGGCTGTTTCCTTGGGGAGAGAGCTGGATTGCAGGACTGATCGTGACCCAGGCACAGTCCTGGCACCTATTCATCGTGCCAGTGAAAGGGAGGCCAGCTTGAAAGAAGAGCATGGGCGGGTGAGTGGTGCCCATGTGAAACAAGGCTGCATCACAGTGGTTTGGTCTGCGCGGAGACACAGTGCACACGCGAGGCGGGCGGGTGGTGGGGAGTGGCCGCCAGCCTTGTCCTCTGATGGGCCCTCTGCCAGATGCAGGACAGAAGAGCAGTGTCTGTCAGCCCAGCCAAACGGAGAGGCTCCAGAAGCTTTGCGGAGCATTGTGAGAGGGCAATGAGTTCCTTCCTGTCCCTGAAAGGCCTTTCGGGGCTCTCCTCCATAATGGGAAGGGAGAGCCCTGGGGCCTAGCTTCTTTAAAGGTTTCGATTTCAGTCAAGGGCAGGTACCTCGGTTGTAGGCTCAATCCCTGGCCTTGATTGGGGCACTGTGCAGAAGGCAACCAATGGATGTGTCACTCTAAAAAAAAAAAAAAAAAAAAAAAAGTCAAGGGACACAATATCCTTGTGTGAGGGTTAACAACAACAACAAAGAACCAGGCTTGCTTTTAGCATTGACACACCCCAGAATGCAGAGTGCTGCGTAGCTGGGTAAGGGGGCAGCTGAGCTCCATGGGCAGGCCTGAGTGCCGTTTCCTTCCCAAACACACACTGGTCCCTAACCTCCTCCTTTTAGTATATGTGCTGCCAAAGTGAGCACACTCTCTCTTTTTAATTTGCTGCCCATGTTCATTCTCTTTTTTTTTTCCCTCTTTCTCCCTCCGACCTTCCTCTCTTTTTCCCAAGAGTTATATGCATGTCTTAAAACCTAGCGCTTTGAGTTCTTGGGGGTAAAGGATGCCAATGCCAGGACCATGGACAGCCACCCTGTCACCTGGCAGGTAAACCATTTTGGGAGAAGGGATAGGAATCTTGGAAATATAACGAGTTGGGAGAGAGTTTCCCTGGAGGTTCAGTGCTCCTTGAACTTCTGGTCAAGCATTACCTCCTCTCCCTCAAGAGGGTTGGCCATGTGGCACGCATGCTTTACATGCTTGGCATTCCCCAGTGGGTCTCATCTTCCTCGCCACATCCACCCGTGCAGTATCCTTTCATCCTCACGATGAGAGACACGGATTGCCGTAGGGAGTTGCTATAGAAATCATGCATCTTAATCAGCTACTTCAGTTCATTTGGATGTCAGGCACCAGAGCATTATAAAACTGCTACTTCTGCCCAGCTGGGCGTGGCTCAGTGGTTTGAGTGTCAACCTATGAACCAGGAGGTCATGGTTTGATTCCCGGTCAGGGCACATGCCCAGTTGGGGGCTCAATCCCCAGTGGGGGGCATGCAGGAGGCAGCCAGTCAATAATTCTCTCTCATCATTGATGTTTCTATCTCCCTCTTCCTTTCTCTCTGAAATCTACACATATACGTATGTGTATACACACACACACACACACACACACACACACATATATATATACATATATATATTAGTATCCTATATAATAAAGAGCTAATATGCAAATGGTCATCATGCCCACACGTCGTCATGCCGTAATGGCTCAGACACTCAACACTGGGGAGAGAGAAATGGGGACCAGCCAGGCACAAATGAGCTTGCGAGAGAGGAATGGGGACCAGTCAGGCTACGGTCCAGGAGAGGGACAAGCCACCTGCTCTGCGGTCCTGGGCGCCAGCAGCTGCACCTGCGGCCCGGGAGAGCTGCCCGCCCACTGTCCCCTGTGGCTGCGGCCAGGCCCGGCAAAGCCGGCCCAGGTCCTGGGTTCCTGCGGCTGGCCAGAGGGAGGAAAACCCGGGTCCCAGGTGCCTGCAACCGGCCGGAGGAGAGAATCCTGGGTCCGGGTCCTGGGTGTGGGGTGAGGCAGAGGCGGTTAGGGGTGATCAGGCAGGCAGGCAAGCAGTTAGAAGCCAGTGGTCCTGGATTGTGAGAGGCAGTTGGACATCTCCTGAGGGGTCCTGGATTGGGGAGGGTGCAGGCCAAGCTGAGGGACCCCTCTCCATGTATAAATTTCATGCACTGGGCCTCTAGTATATAATAAAAGCCTAATATGCAAGTTGACTGAAAGGCCGAACGACCGGCGGAATGACCGGCTGTGATGCACACTGACCACCAGGAGGCAGATGCTCAATGCAGGAGCTGCCCCTAGCCCGCAGGCCCCAGGCCAGCCAAGGCGGATGCCAGCAGGCCCCACCCCCACCCCCCCACCCCCCCACCCCCGATTGCCCCGCCGGTCATCCCACAGAGGGAGGCTACCGGTGGCAGTGGGGCTGGGGCTGGCAAGTGGGCAGCACCAGGCCGGCCAAGGCAGGTGCCAGCAGGGCTTTCCCCCACCCGCCCCCTGGTTGCCCCACAGATTGGCCCTGATCGCCAGCCAGGCCTAGGGATCCTCCCCATACACGAATTTCGTGCATCGGGCCTCTAGTGTATATATATTTAAGTATATATATTTTAAAAACTGCTACTTCACTAAGGCTGCTGCCTTGGTATCCAGTGATCCTTGTCATCTTTCAGGTTTGATAGGCTCAGTGGGATTCCTAGGTTTGCCAGGCCCATCTCCTAGTTTTCCTTAGACCTGACAAATGACCTAGTGGGTAGGCAGTTCCTCCTCTTGGGTTTGGAGCTACTGGACAGTGTGGGTTTATGCCTACCATCAGGGCCAGCAGAAGAGCAGAGTTCCTCTGTGTGGATATTAACACTTCGGTGGGTGGTTTATTTCTTGTTTCAAATAAAGTAACAACTCTTTCCTTTTGGGGGGCTGTTAGCTCATCCCAAATTCTTAGCCTGAAAAAGTGTCAGGTTGTACTGGTATTTATGTTTTGCTTTCTAAGGCTGCGTGTTTTCTTATATATGTATACACACATGAGAAGAGGTTTGGTATGGCATCTGAATCTGGGGGGACCTCAAGATTCTCTGCCCTTGCCCCCACTTCCTTGGTGAGGGATTCTGAATGGCTCATTCCTGTCATCCTCCACTCCTGGGAAGAATCCATCAGGGGTAAACAGTTTGGGGTGTGGGCCCTAGATTTGCTGACATGGCTCACTGAGTATGCATCTCTGTTCCCCCAGGAGACTTGGAGCTCCTCTCCGTGCTGACATGATGACCGTGTGCAGGCCGACCAAAGGCACCCACAGCCAGACTGAAAACCTGAGCTTCAAACTGGCTGACAAGTAAGAACTTTTCTCCCCCAAGAGTGAAGAAGTTGGCCCGGAACCGGTTTGGCTCAGTGGATAGAGTGTTGGCCTGCGGACTCAAGGGTCCCGGGTTCGATTCCGGTCAAGGGCATGTACCTTGGTTGCGGGCACATCCCCAGTTGGGGGCGTGCAGGAGGCAGCTGATCAATGTTTCTCTCTCATCGATGTTTCTGGCTCTCTATCCCTCTCCCTTCCCCTCTGTAAAAAATCAATAAAATATATTAAAAAAAAAAAAAAAGAAGTTGGCCCGGACTCTCAGTCTCCTTCCTTTCACTACTGCCTTTCCCTGTTCTCTAACCCCACTTCCTTGAACTAAGGAAGTGTTCTTTTCTGAGTCGTTGTGATGAGCAGGACTCCTGTCAGTCATCTCCATGCGCTGCACTCAGTTAAGAACCCGAAACCAAAGTGGTCAAGGGAAGGTCTGACTAGCACCCAGTGTTTGGAGAGGATGATCCCAGGGCCATTCCAGGCAATGTCCCCAGTCACACATTCCAGTCCAGGGGTTATTTTTTTTCACTGCTGGAATGCACAGGTATTGTAAATATCAGTGAGCCCTAAATCTTGGCAGCTGCATCTGTCGACATAGCGTCTTTACCCATCTTACATCAGCAGGGCCGTTTTCTCCCCAGGTGTTTTCCTCTGATACTCACTCACACGTTCTGCAAAGGAGTTGGCAATCCCTGAGCTTTTCGTAGCTGTAGAACCCCTCCTGGGGCCATAGACTCCTCTCTCCCTTTCTTCCTCCTTCCCTCCCTCCCTCTTCCTTCCCCCCTCTCTCAAATCAATAAATCAAAATTTTTTCAGTGTTGTTTAACAATATATGTGATATTAGTGATTATATATTTGTCACTAAACATGCACTAACCTGAACTGTGTTTTTATGTGTCTGTCCTATTTCTTCATCCCACTTCTAGCTCCATGAGAGCAAGGACTTTAACTTTTGCCTTTTGAATTCTCAGTAAAATATCAACAAAATGATTCTGATTCCAATTCTGACTAAAATCTGAATTCATGCCAATGTCCTCAGTGGTAACAGAACAATTAAAAAATGTGTTTCTTTTCTGTAAGCACTCTGTTATTTATGCTAATTGTTTATTTAAATAAGGAATTCTGCTTTGGTAGCCATCTGTAACATGAAAATGTGTTTGCAATTTCACACGTTTCTAATTTATATTGAGCAACCAAGAATAGCAACACAACTTACGAGCTATTGTTCCATAGGAAGAAGTCTTTACATAAACAACTGTTAGTCTTTGGAATAGAAAGCTAAATAGAAATACAGTGTGTGAAGTTGGTAATAATTCATCCCTCATGTAAACCTAACTGGGGTTTCAGAATTCCTACACAGCTTCATCTATGTTTCACAGAATGTGCACCATGAAGTAGGCCTATGCATGTTTGCTAATCTTGACACATCTAAAGTCACTGTGTTCAGGCATGATCTGTGTTGGTGGAAGCACAGATACTCCCATTCTCATTAGACTAGCTTAAAAATGTTTTTCTGGTTTTCTTTCAACATAATTTTCAACATCTTTATGACACTAATCTCCTAAGATTACATTTGGCGGCATGTATCCCCATATGTACATTCTAGGCCAGCACTTTCTGGAGTGGTGGGAATGATCTACTCCATCCGATTAGAGTAACCATTAGCCACATGTGGTTACTGAGTCCTCAACATGTGGCTGGTGCAGCTGGGGAACTGAATTGAATTTGATTTCAGTTTAAATAGCCACATATGGCTAGTGGCCACTATATTGGACAGTGCAGTTGTAGGCCACCCATGAAATCCGAATCTGCTTGTTGATTCACTCATTTATGCAGCAAAGATTTATTGGCCTTTCTACTCTGCTAGGTGTTGTTCTAGGTGCTAGGGATGTATCAGTAGCCAAAACACACCAAATTCAAAACAAAACAAAACAATCCCTGTCCTCATGGAGAGAGATCATTCTAGTAGGGCTCACATTCTAAAGGAGGTTTAATTCAAATGCAGCCAATCATTGTCTTCACCGATTCAAATCAGGACAACTTACCAAGCCCAGGATTAGCAAAAACTTTGTAACTCATGGCGATGTTCTAATTGTGAATAATCATTACAAAGCCCCATCCATCGAAAACAGAAGCAGAGGAAACTTAGATTATATACTCTCTTCTCCTATTTTCATCAGGGAGAAAAAAGCTCATAATAATGGTAACCACCACGTCTTGTACATTCATGACATGCTAGATATTTTATGTGGGCTAGCTCATTCAGTGTTTACAGTCACCCTGCTAGATATGTATTATTATCACTATTATTCCTATTTCACAGACGAGGAAATTGAGATTTAGAGAAGTTAAGCATCTTGCCCAAGGTCACACAGCTGGTCAGTGGTTGAATTAGGATTTAAACCCAAGTCTACTGGACTCCAAATCCAATAGCTCCATGATATCTTCCCCAAGAAAAATATTATGTGATTTTTTTAGATGGTGGTTTCAGTGTTTGTGATTTGCAGCCAGCATATAATATATCTGAGTTCTAGGAAATCTCTATGACCAGCCAAGAACAATAACGCGGCTACTGAGTCCTCACCCAGTGTTTATCTTTCTTGTTCAGGGTCCAGGTGGAAGGCCCAAAGGCTGGGGAAGATCTCCAAAGGCAGCCCTGTCGGTCCTCCAGTCCTTTCCTAAAGACGGATCAGGACTCACCCCTCCAAAGAAGCCCGTTGGAAAACCTCAATAACCTGAAGCTAAAGTTAAGAGTAGACTGTTTTCAGCAGAACATGTTCAACTCAAATATGATCATCAGTGACCCAGCTTCAGGTCTCAATGCTAAAGAAGCCAGCAAGGCTGGCAGGAGGCAGCTCAGTGGAGTTCAGAACCTCTGCCCTCCTGCCCGAGGCAGGGCCGGGCACAAGTCCCTCAGCATAAAGGACAAGATATCGGAATGGGAAGGGAAAAGGGAGTTGCCCACTCCTGCACCCAGCAGGAAAGCAGATGGGCAAGAGGATTACCTGACATCCTGCGTGACGGACAGGAGATGTGATGATGGTGTGATGACTCAGTTCACAGCAGCTGAGAACGGAACGAGGCCGGAAAGAGAGAGCAAAGAGAACGAGAGGAACAAGGAGGTAGTGGAAGTCGTGGGACAGAATGCGGAGCGGAGGCTAGACATAAGCCAGCCAGCCAGGGAGCTGTCTCCGAGCATGGGCAAAGGCCTAGAGCTGAGGCTTAGCAAACAGCGCTTTCAGAACGATAGCCTCTCTGTGCTGGTGCAGGTCAAGAAACTTGAGCAGGCTCTGAAGGATGGTGTGGCAGGATTGGATCTCCAGTTACCAGGGACTTGTTATTCCCCCCACTGTGTGCCGGACAAGGAGGGGCCGAGCCTCACAGCGAACCGTGGATGTGGGAGTGGCTCAGAATTCAGGTCCCACCACTTGGACCTGGAAGCCAGGCAGCCCACCCCCGAGGTTGCAGAGGAATGGAGAGGCTCCTACGGGAAAGCCTGTGATCAGAGCCTGGAGAGTGTATACAGAGGCTCCTCCTCCAAACACTTCATCAACCCCCTGCCCAAACCCCGGAGAACGTTCATGCATGATGGAGAAGGGGACAAGGATGGGAGCCCGGGCATAAGCTTCAGGAAAGATCGCAGGAACCTGCCTCCTCTGCCCACTCTTCCTCCCCCACCCCTGCCCTCCTCTCCACCACCTCCCTCTGTGAACAGAAGACTGTGGAATGGGAGACCGAAGCCCAGTGCTGACCACAGGTAGGTGCCGGCGACTGTCCGCTTCAGTCGTCTATGCTGCATCACAGCTGATGCTCAGTCTACTTATTTGTTTTCGTAAACTGGTGGGTCTTGTACTTAGTCGAGACTGTTTATAACTTAAGGTAGTTTATTGACTAAACGTGGACACGTGATAACTGATGCATGTGTTTTGTCTTTGTTTTACCCTTCGGATGTGATGAGTACTTGTGATTCAGACAGTAACCAAGCATTCAATGAAAATTTGTTTTATCCCTGGCATCTACTAATTGCTGCTAATGGGTGCTCTATTTTCGACTGCCATCCCTGCTAGTGCTTGATACTTTCAGTCTTTCCTGGCTCTTCCTTTCATGTTTTGTCTTGGTATGGGCTACAGACACACACTGCCTGGGTCTACCCTGGCCCCATCATGGTCATTCTCTATGACCTTGAACAAGTGACTTAACCTCTCTCGAAGCCTCAGGTTCCTCATTTATACATAGATGCACACACTGTGAATATTTTATAATATTAAAATAACACATTAGGTGATAAAGCATGTGAATGCTTGAAAATAAAATCTGTGCTTTGGATTCAGTTTCTTCTCTGCTTTGAAACTTACATTTCTAGTCCATTTCTGTAATGTGCTCATTGGCTGATCCCCACTAACGTGGAAACCGGCTTTAGAGCAGAACTCCTCGGACAGTTGTCCGTACTTACAGTCACCACTTCTTCACCTCATGTTTTTTTCCTTGACCCACTGCAGTTGGGCTTTTGCCACTTATCCTGAGACTGCTCTTGACCAAGGCTCCAAACAGCCTCCATCCTGCTGCATCCAATCACTAGTTATCTGTTCTTGTCATTGACCAACTAACTCTCTTGGCAATTGAGGAACAGCTGAGGTGCTACATCTTGAACCACTGTATTCACTTGGCTTCTGGGTCACCCACTTTCCTGGTAGTCCTACTTCACTGGCTGTTCCTTTTCGTAAGTGTCAGAATATCCCCACCACCACCACCACCAATGCATCCGTACCTCATCCTGGGGTCAGAACAGGAACTTCTCTCCGTCTACATGCACTCCCTAACTGATCTCATCCAGTCTCATGGCTTTAAATGTCAATTACATGCTCATGACTCCCAACTATGTATCTCCAGCCCCAACTCCCTCACCCAGCTTCAGATTAGGTTAGTCATCTCCTGTTTAGGTCTCCGTTTGGTTAGCTAATAGTTTGGACTTAATATGTCCAAACCTAAATTCTCAATCCAGGCCATGGCAAAGCACCTCCTCTCAAAGTAATTCCCATTTTATTAAATGGTACTATCCTTCATTTTGCTTAGGCCAGAAACCTAGGGGCTGTCTCTGAGTCCTCTCTTTTTCACGTACCCCCATCTAATTCATCAGCAAGTCCTTTGGTTCTAGTTTTAAATGTTATCTTGAATTTGATTACACCTCCTCCACTGCTACTACCTTAATCATCTTGGATCCACCACTACCCCCAGTATATTCCTTTCTCAGCAGCTAGGTGAAATTATCTAGAAATATAGATTAGAGCATGTCATTCCCCCACTCAACAAGGTCTGTCAGGTAGGATTCTTTTGGCTGGCAAAACATAATTTCTTTTTTTTTTAATTTAAATTTTTTATTGTTGCAAGTATTACGTATGTCTCCTTTTTCTCCTATAGACTTCTCCCCCGTTGCTCCCACCCCCCTAAAACAATTTCTTATATTCTCTTCTAGGGAAAAAGGTATGTATATTCTAGAATTTTGTATAAATTTACAGTATATAAAAAATTATGTCTTTTAAAAGTGAAAGCATGCTATATATCTCTTCCTTTTTACACTCTTTTTAACTTACAATATCATTGAGATCTTTCCATCTTGCTACCTTCCTTTTTTTTCTTCCACCTTTCTACAACTACCACATTCATTACATCATGTGGATAGATAATTTTTTATTTAGCTGTTCCCCTACTGATGGACACCTGGGTTGTTTCCAGTTTACAAATAATGCTTTGATGAGCAGTATATAGCATTAGAGAAGATTCTAGAGCCAGAGTACTTCTAGCTCTGCTACTTGTTAGCTGTGTGACATTGTACAAGCTACTAAATTTGTCTTGGCTTCATTTTACTTAAAATCATGATAATTAGCCCTAGCCAGTTTGGCTCAGCAGATAGAGCATTGGCCTGCGGACCGAAGGGTCCCCGATTCAGTTCTGGTCAAGGGCACCTACCTTGGTTGCAGGCTCCTCCCCGGCCTGGGACCTGGCTCATGCAGGAGGCAATCAATGTGTTTCTCTCACATCGATGTTTCTCTCTGTCTTTGCCTTTCTCTTACACTCTCCCTATAAATCAATGGAAAAATATCCTCCAGTGAGGATTAACAAAAAATAATAATAATCAATAAATAAATAGCCGAAACCGGTTTGGCTCAGTGGATAGAGCGTCGGCCTGCGGACTGGGGGGTCCCGGGTTCGATTCCGGTCAAGGGCATGTGCCTGGGTTGCGGGCACATCCCCGGTGGGAGATGTGCGGGAGGCAGCTGATCGATGTTTCTCTCATCGATGTTTCTAACTCTCTGTCCCTCTACCTTCCTCTCTGTAAAAAATCAATAAAATATATTTAAAAAAATAAATAAATAAATAAATAAATAAATAAATAAATAAATAAATAAATAAAATGGTGATAATTATAATAACCACTTCATAAGTTGTGAAGAAGATTAGTAAATATGTGTAAATCATAAAACAAAGCCTGGGATATAGTAAAGGCTTAATAAATGTTAGCTATTACTGTTTTCTGGCTCTCTTTTGTTTAATTAATCAGGGTATCTGTTTCTTTTTCAATACCAAATATTTTAATTATTTAATATATTAATATATTTTAATATCTAGTAGAGTTTACAGAAATTTCCTATTGTTGTTGATAATGAGTCAGCTGGTTCTCCTGGACATTCTCCGTATTCTATCATGTCATATGAAAAAAAATGATCATTTGGTCTCCCTTCTAATAATTATAATCCTCTTATTTATTTTCTTATTCTCTTTTTAAAAAAATGTCTTAACTATTCTTGCATGTATTTTTCTAAATGTTCTATATAGCACTATCAAATTTCACTCACACAAAATGTTAGTTTTAATTTTTTTTATTTTAAAAATTAAAAAAAATTTTAAATTATAGTTTGTCAGTTAATTCTCTTGGACTTTCTATGTATATAATCATATTGTCTGCAAAGAATTATTTTACCCTTTTAAAAAATATTAATACCTCCAAATTCTTTCTCTTACCGCATTACCCTGGCTAATACTTTCAGAGCAGAATTAAATAATAAGCAACAGGCAGACTTACCTCACCCCTAACTTTAATGGTAATGGTTTTAGTATTCCACTCTCAAACACTCTTGTTTGAGGTATGCTTTTATGTTATCAAGGTAATGTTCATTTATATTTCTTATTTTACTGAGTTTTAAAAAATTAGGATTAAATGGTAGATTTTTGTCAAATTATACTTCAGCAACTTTATACAATCATATAGTTCTTCTCCCTTGACTATTAATAGTGAATTTATATCTAATACTAACCCATCCTTAGATTTTTGGGATGAACTCTTATTTGGTCTTGGTTTATTATTATTTTTAATGTACTGCTAAATTCTATTTGCTAATATTTTAAGATCTTTGTCTCAGTATTCTATAAATGGGACTGGCCTGTACTTGGTACTTATTGCACTATCTTTATTAGGCTTTGGTATCAGTGAAATCTTAGAAGAATTTAGAGAATTTCTTCTTTATGTTTTGAGAAAGTTTGAATCCATCTCCAACCCTGCATTCTTTCCCAAACAAATGCCAAGCCCAGGGCCCTAAATACTCTGGTGACTTTCTACTCCCGTCCCCATGCTTCCCAACAGCAGCTCTCCCACACCCTTTTCTGGGCTGCTCCTGCAAAGAGGCCCGCTCTCCCGGGCAGGTTGATTCTGGGAAATTGGAGTCTTTCATCTGTGTCATCATTGGGAAGACAGATCAACCTGGTGAACAGTTATTTCCATTATCATTTTTCTTTTAGCTACCATCTGCTATTTTCAGTCTTCCAGCATTTTCTTTCAAACCAGCTAAAGTTACTTAGTTTCAGTCCAACAATGAAATTTTTCTTGGCCAGTTTGAATATGGTTGCATCAGCTGTGTTTTAAGAATTTTGGCTTTGGATTTTTCATTTTGTTTAAAATAGTACAATGGGAGTTATTAGGGCAAGATGTTCACTTTCTGCTCTTAAAAAATAAAGTGTGCTCTTTATTGTGGTCCTATCTCTAAAAGAAAAAAGAAATAGGAAGAAAAGGAAAAAAAAAGCTCAACTCTGCATTTGGCAGACTTACTGCCCTGAGGCAGGAAAGCCAAGCCAAGGTTGAAGAAAGAAATGATTAAGGATTTTGAGGTTATGAAGGTTTAGAATTACATGGCCAGGCTGTGTGCATTAGAGAATGTATTCAGCTTATTTTCATAGACCAATTAGTCCACCTCAGCAAGAGCCAAACCAATGAATTCAGATACTCAGTTTAAGAAAATGGTGGTTTTTTTCTTTCTCTCTTTTTATTTTTCCCTTCCCTTTTTTCTCTTTCCTCTTTTATCTCTTCTTCTTCCTCGTCTCCTTCCTTTCTTTCTTCCCTTTCTTCTCTCTTCATTTCTCTAAAGCCCCAGGAAATTAAATGCAAGGCCTTATGTCTTCAGTCCTAAAATGGAAAATGAGAAACCCTCAAATATCAGGAAATTCCAAAGATAAGGTTCCTGCAGCAGCATTAACTTGGTTATGTATGTTTTATGGCATACATTTAATAACTTTGACAGGAATGCCTTAAGGCTGACATTAAACAAGAAAAGTTATTATTTTTTAAGTATAAGGAGCATCCTGAATTCACATGTATCTATTTACCCCAAAGGTTTTAACTTGAATTCAGATTTTTTTGTTTTAGTTTAATTTGATCATATGACAGATTTTTTTAGATCATTATCCAACCAAATAACTAACTACATT